ATATATATTTCTTAACTTTTTCACCAAAACATTCAAATAAATTAAAATATGAAATAATTTAATTTCTTATCCCTGCGAATCTTATAAAGAACCCAGAATTTTGATATTTCCATTATTTTGGGAGATATMGCAATGGGTAAATCCTCGCGGGACACCCTGTATATATTATGTGTATATATATATATGACATATTATGATATAATATAACCTATGATAACTAAATAATATTATTTTAATTGAATTTACGTATGGATCCATCACTTATCAGTTATCAGCAATATGGCCGTATGGCCGTATGGGGTGCTAAGCCTACGAATAAATCCAAAGCTCTTCTAAAGAACCAAATGCCAAAATATATTTATAATCAATAGGTACGTTATGCCACATAAACTAAAATTTATTTTTGCATTTCTTTACCAGTAATGTTGTTTTGCTTCATTAAAGTATTTTTTTTTTTAAATGTATAAAAATAGATCATATTTATTGTTTGAACATTTTGAACTAATGTTATAGTTAAAAAAAAACGCTTGTCGAATAAAGTTATTTAATTTTTATAACATTTTTATAAAATTACTTTCATATCTTAATTTTATCATGGTTTGTAAGAACTAGAATAATTTTAAATTTTAAATTCATATAATTCATTTTAAAACATTCTAAATTCGAATCGTCTACGATTTACGAAACCGCACTTGAATGCTCGAAAAGGAATCATCATTCGTCAATGATCAAAAAAAAAAAAAATAAAACTGTCTGATCACTCACGTTTCGAATCACATAAGCAGTAGACATCTACATTMTAATTATTAGTTATTTATTACACATTATTCAATAAAACAGGCAACTTTAAATTAATTTATATGCGTGAATAGTGACGCACGCAATGAGGGGARGAGGGTCATAAAGTCTTTCTGAGAAAGTTCCACAGAATACAGAGGCCCGGTATTAATTGTTATTTAAGAGGACCCCGATCTAGTTCTGTTTACCAGGGCCAAAAATATGATGTGTGGGGCCTGCAGGGGGAGGMTAACAGTCTGAACTTCCTACCCACCATTGCCCGTTTTATCATTAATTTTTTGAAAATATCTATCAAGTTTCAAGCACTTTCAACTGCTCATTCATATACGTCTTGTCGGATTAGTCGTAGCCATTTATCAATAATATAATCCTAGGTCGGTTGAATTTGTTTTAATTTGCATATCAATTTTCGTAAAATGATCAGTGATGATTTGTTGGTAAAAGTGTGAACAACTTGTATGTAAAACCTTGTAATCAATTTTCAAGCCTTGGCCACATAAATTTATTATTTTATAAATTTTTACCGACAAATGAATTGTGGTTTTGTTAAAATTTGAATTTTAAACGCTAATAAAAAATAATCGTGTCTATGTATTGTAAATATTTTTAAATAGCTATTATAAACACTTACGATGAGCTTCGTATTACATCTTGAAGGTTTTTGACTGAACGAATAATTTTTTATTGACGTTTTCAGGGGAAAAAATAACTAAAATTAATCAAATACATTCCAAACAAAAACCATCTTACCGAGGTCAACAATCAATTTTTAATTACGAGAGTTTAGACCTTCAAAAATTGGACTACATCCAATTTGCTCCTAAAACCCTCCGTCGAAGGTGTTATAATCGGAGCATTTTTTTCTGCTTGAAAACGAAAAGTTGAGAAGCTTAAAAGTTGTACAAACCTTTTTTCAAAATATACCTACCACTCACAAACGTCTAAAATTATTAGACCGGTCAAAGTACAAACAAAAGTGCAGTTAATTTTTAAGACGGCTCTCCCCTCCTCTCCCCTCCTCTCCCCCTCCTCACAATTATTGATGATTAGAATAATTTCTCGCGCAATATTGGGATATGATTTTTGATCGGAGTTTGTGTATTTCATAAATATAATACCTTTTTTTTGATAACATTTTTACCAGTCTGGACGGCTTGAGGGAAGGGAGAGTCCATTGACACTACTTCCAATATGAACTTTGGTTAAATTACATTTTTATTGTACATAATAAGTGTATTTATAATATAATTTTGATTTAAATATTATACCTACGCATTTTATTGCAGTTTTATGATTTTTGATTATTACTCTGCCGAGGTGGCGCAACGTGGATGTAGTGTTTCTAATCGCAAGGAATGACGTGTTTGGTGTTTCTTGTTTTAGCGTTTTTCCAATGTTCTGTGGTTAACGAGAGGCGTCGACGAGCCGGTGACAAGACGCTAAACACAGTACGTTTTTAACGTTCCACCGTCAAGCTCTRAGCTAGATGGAGCCACTGATTTTTGCTTATCATAAAATCGTTCCATCTACTATCAATATTGCGTTTGCCGCCAAAATTGCACAAAGTGGATGATACACGAATGTATACGTATCATCAAAAATATCAAATACTGTAAAACATGATTAAAGATATACCTTTAATATTTATAAAATCAGTATATTATCTTTAATCATGCTGTAAAATGAATAATGATGTTGATGGCCATTTACAACAATATTATAATATTTTGGTATCACTGATAATGATACTATAATAATGTTAGAATTAGACAYATTATTTAGTATAGGATTTTTTATTCAACGGTAATATTGGTAATTTACAAAATAAATAAATAGGTGATACAAAAGTGTTTTTACGATATTTTACTGACRTCTGACACKRCTGCAGCTTACGTTTTGCATACTTTGATTTGAAAAGTGGTCYGAGTCCGATGTCCAGCGACATGAACTCCAACGACGATGATCTAAAAGCTTTGGCTTTGTTCTTGGATGCTGAAATCGATGCTAATCCGACAACAGAAAAAATCACAGACAGCAAACAGGGTWAGTGCATTATTGAATAATGATTAATTTTGGTACCTAACWGTGTTGTTGAATGATCAYGTGTGTCGTTCTTTTTAATGTTTGTAGATGAAATAAAGGACAACAAAGACAATGGTAATCAACCRGCTGAGAATTCTGGAAAGGAAACCGGATCATTTAGTGACTTTTTCAAATCAATGAAGTCAAAAGTCGTTGACTTAGATGAAGAGGTAGTTAAATGTGAACCAAAAAAGAATTCCATACCCAAAAAACCAAAATTTGGATTTGATCCCTCAGCAGACCCTGTGTTTGGTCTATGTATGATCAATCCATTGTTGTCATCTCAGACAATTCAAGAYAGAATGATTGGTAAAGTACCGGTGCCCGTCGGCCGAGTGAAAACACATCTTAAGTCTGCAGACGATTCAGATTGGGTTGTAGCCGGCGTCTTGGTGAACAAATCTCTTCCAAAGACTTCRCAAAAAGGTAAATACTTATTGCCTTATTTACAGAGTAATTATTAAATTTTTTCTTAAATACTCTTATATTGTAGGTTCTACTTTTAGCATATGGAAAATAAGTGACTTAAAACCAGGTATGATGAGTACTATAACAATATTTTTATTTGGTCGCTCACATGCTGACTTGTGGAAAACAGACGTTGGATTTGTGGTTGGAATACTGAATCCAAAAGGTGAGACTATATTGACTAATGACCATTATAACTAATCAGGTAAAAAACACAAATTATGTTATAAATAATGAGTTTCTGTTAAATTTATCAGGTACAAAATTCTTTTGTTTTGGTAATAATTAAGTGTTTTATGCTGCGAGTTCTATAATAATTAATATATCAAAAATTAAGGGTAGTAATTGAATACCATGTTTAGTCAGTACATTATATATTTAAATTGATAAATAGCCAATTAACTAAATTCGATATTACAAAACCATGCACAATGTGCTGACCATTTCATTACCAATTCTTTAAACCACTACCCCTAGCTTATATTCCAAGAAAACAAATCTATAGTAGTACACAGAGAGTAAATATTAAGATACTAATTTAATCAGTGCAGTCTCTATTTCAATCTGGTACATCAGATTAATAAGGCTCGAAAGTTTTAGGAAGTTGAGTATTTTTCTTTCAGTTTTCAATATTATTTAGTATTTAGGTACTAATAATATTTTTTCAGTTCAATAATTAACATTTTAATGAGTTCCCCATACATCAGATCTTTCTTTTAAATTTTAAATTCATTTAATAAATCAATTTTGAATATAGTAGGTATTAATTATCCTAACTATACAATAATTTTAGTAAATAATAATTTTGAAACTWATAAAATTATTTACTTATATAAAAACTTAWAAGTTTTTATTCATRTATATTTTGTCTATTAAGTACTAGTGATTTTAATCATAACATATCATTYTGTTTCCTTAAATAGAAATGGATGGTAAAGACAAGAAGGATGAAATAGCATTATCTATAAATAGCGGTGATCAAGTGATGTTGTGGGGTAGATCCAAAGATTATGGAACTTGTAAAGGAGTTAAGAAAAATGGAGAAAAGTGTGATATGTTTGTAAACATTAATAACTGTGATGTTTGTACATTTCATGTAAAACGAGAATATATCAAGCATTGTAGTCAAAGAGCAAATATTGGAAATTCTAGACCAACAGCAGCGCACAGCTTACGAGATAAAGTTTGTTGTTTTACATAGTATTTAAAATGTTTTAGTTTTATTAATTGTTTGTCATTATTATTATTTTTTTGATAGATATTAGGCAAAAACGAGGTGTTTTATGGTGGTCAAAGTTTTGTGTCTACTAAATCTAATCATTCAAAATTAATGAAAGAAGACCAAGTGAAACTTCAACGATTAAAATCTACTAAAAAGCTTGAGTTAGGCCCAATTGAATCTCTTGCCGCTGCACCACGTGCTACTATTGCCAATCGTCGTGCTACTGCTATAAAAGATTTTGTTAACGGTTTGAAAACCAATGAAATTAGTGGTTCGGGAAAAAAGAATATTGATCATAAAGAAGCTCCAAAAATGTGTACGTTCAAAGACATACTAGGTAGCTCATCAAATCTTAAAAATGTTGGATCAATGCGTCCAAAATGTGCCAAAGCTAATGCATTGAATTGGATTAAATCAAATGGGACAATCCAAAAAGAAAATCCCAACTTATTTGAGAAAAGTAAGGGTGGTAGAAAAAGAAAATTGCCTGAAGATATTGTTTTAGATCTAGGTCTAGAAAAGAAAGTTGCTGTTGAAGAAAAGGTTTCACCAAGATTTTTGGAACTTATGAAAGCTACTTCTCAGAACCAAGATCTTATTGATACAGCTCAGCAAGAAGCTGAAGACAAATATTTTGATCAAATGGATAAAAAGGAAAAAATGGAACACAAAATGATGAACACATACAAGATGCCATGCAAAGCTGTACGTTGTCTTGTATGCAAATATACTTGGTTTTCAGCATCTGAATGGTGTAAAACTGAAAAACATGCGTTGCGTGTAATGGATGCTACTAAAAGATTTTTCAAATGTAATGATTGCAACTCGAGAATTGCTTGTTTGACAATGTTTCCTATGATTTCATGCAAAAACTGCAATGGTTCCAAATGGGAACGAGCACCAATGATGAGTCACAAGAAAGTTGATGAAATCCATTTGAGCATTCGTGGAGATGAGCAAACATTCTTGAGCTCTATGCAACCAAAACTTAGTATGAGCTTGATGGTGGCAGAAGAAGATTAATAAGTAATAAAATTGTTTCATTTTTTATTGTCCTCGCAGATTTATTATCTAATTGTTTCATGATTAATGAATATTGAATAATGACAAATAATTAAAATAATTGTATGGACTTAAATAATTGTATATTGATATATTTTATTCACTGATATGTTCATAAATTTTACGTTTGTATAGAATCTATATTTTATACTTAATTTAATTGATAGTTAATTGTTTAGTATGTAATAGAATTATAAAAAACTGTAATACATTTTACATAATTTGAAGTATTATTTGTATGATATTGGCATACTGATGATATTTTTTTTTTACTTTTAGAACTTTAAACGTCTATATTAATTTTAATACATTTTAATTATTAATTTCTTATCTTCAATAAATTTAATCAAATATAATGTGTATTACTAATTTTTCATCTCTGTATGTTGGTTTAAGAGTATYTGAATATACTGTAATAATCAGACAATTATATTATTACAATTATTTTCATGCAATAGGTATATATAAATAAAACTATTATTAATATGAAAATTCATAACTTGTGGTGCCAAGTATATAATTTACATATTATGAAATAAATAACTGATTTTTAATTGTTGTGATTACAGTTGACTATAATGTATAATCTAACACAGTAACTTTTTTTTAAAGTAAAATATTAATTTCCAGATATGTTTTTAATTATATTATATTAATTTTGGATATTAAAAATCTTATTAGGCGTTTATCATTTAAAATCTATTTTTTCAATAAAAATAAAAAATTTATAAAAAAACATACAATTTTTAATTTTATATCACTTTGTATATCAAATTGTTAACAATTGTTCATTATTTTTATTGTTAGATTTAGATTTTATTATTGTGAAAATGATATGTTCACAGCAGGTATCGTAATTAATTTTTTTTTCGTTTTGTAGAATTTAATTCTATATCGTAACTTTGARTTAATAACAGCAGTATATATGACAGTCGATTGCGATTTGATTTAWTAGATTATGAGCGACAAATTTAATGATTTTAAAATAGTTTATTTTTATTATTTTTTGTTTTGTCTGAAGACATTTTTTCTAGTGGAGAAATGCTTTGATGTCAACTTCAATAAGAATTTTTGATAGTAAATTTTATCTAGTTGGTACTTTTGGCCTTAAATTGTCGGTACTTTAAAAAATAATAATGAATAGCAAAAAAGAAATACAAACATATTTATCAAAATTTAAATATTGTATGTTAGTTACCAAAAATTTAAACTGACWTCGATTTTTGTTTTCTATATCATAAGAGCTTGAACATTTAATCCAGGGTTCCCAATGAATTGTAAATACTGGAATTAGAAAGAAAAAAAGTGACTGTAAATCAACAATAATTTTTTTATAAGCCACTGAAGATAGGATATTGACGATTTTGTCTAAAACTGATTTTGCTGAAAATTTTCGGTTTAACTTTTTTTTTGTTTTTCCAAATCATTCAAAGTTTACTGGGAAAAAAGTTACTAAGTAGATGGAAAATATATACTACTATAATAAATTGCTAAATATTAATGATATAACAAGTAAAATAACATTGTAATTGAATAACTTTCTTTTTTTTTATTGCAGTTGAACAATATTAAAATATGATAAGCAAAATGAGCGGTTCACAAGAATTAAAATATATAACCGAACACTAATAAATATTAATACAGTAGTAAGYWGTTTACAGTAATAAATGTTATATTTTTAATATTTTAATCGCACAATCCTAATAAAACGGCGTTGTAGGTAGGCAATTTAAGTCACATCTGTTCAGCCGGGTCCACACTAGGACAAACATTGTTGTCGAACATGTTCGTCGAGAATGTTTCACCTAGTCAGTATGCGTGCGCGTACAACTCTAAAATKTTTGCCAACATTACCTAACCATCAATGTCGGCGCATCAACCAATGGTGACTCTTGTCGTATCATACAAAGGTGCGTTAATCTTCATTGCATTTTAACCTGTACAATCAAATGTCCGTGTTTTCGCGTTCATAGAACATTTTAGCGTGATGACTAATTGAGTCGACTGCCAGTCAAGTGTCACTGTTTCACTAGGTACCTAATGGATGTGGTGCTGCATGTTACGCTCGCGAGAGGACGCGTCCTAAAAAAAAGGTATATTTTTCATATGGTAAATTTAGTTGGTAAGTTGAGTCCCGTTTTGGGGACGCAAGTCGGCTATATCAGCTGCGGTTCTCAACCTTTTTAATTTTTCGGACAATAAATTTTGTAAAACAATATTTGAAGCCCACCCATAGCATACCTATACACGACACAAGTGTTCCTTTCCGCAACACCGACTAACAGTGGTCGCGTGATGGTTGACCATTATTTTTATACCACGTCGTGGTAAGTTTCCGCTATACATTACATTAATGCATTTAATCACCCAGTCACAATATTTAGTGTGATCCGTTTCCGATTTAATATAGTTAAGAAGACGTGATATCCGCATGTGACTATTTACATTTTTAAAATACTCATAATTCACTTCAAAATTAAAATATGATAAAAAGCCTATGAGGTTGTCCAGATAATAATCTTACCTTTAAATTTTATCAGAGGTCACTCTACATTTTAAACTAACAGAGCTACATGACGTGTTCTGTTGCAGAGCGTAAAAATTGCTATATAATGTAATCACTTGTAAAACGGAGACAACACATGCGGGTATCGCACTTCCTCTTAATAAAACACAATATTATGCGATTGAATTTATTCAGAAGTAGGCCATTTAAAAAAAAAAATGTACTTATCTTTTTTGAAAAACACGATGAGATTTGTTTCGATTATATTTTTAATCAAGAGGACTCCACATCAGCAGTGATTTATTCTTGAAAATATTTTTTTTTTGGTTTAAACTTACCGAAACATCAGTGTTCACAGAAGATTTACCATATTTTCACAATAAATATAGACATATAGTCGTGTAGAAAATAACTTTATCTGTGTCGTTGGGTTTTTTTTTTATTTAACTTTTTAAAGAAAGTCTAAATCAATCATTTATTCATTTTTTATTTCAAGTTAGTGAATAGTGAGTATTGATATCAAAAAATAAATAAAAACGTTGCGACGCGCAGATATAGGCGTTTTCCTGTAAATAGTTTGAAAATGTGGTAAATCTGGTGTAAATATTATAACCGTAATTTTGCGTCGGGCATGAAATCTTTTTATCCATAATCTCTTTGTTATGAAACATCTATTTTTGGTAGTGGCGTTTGACATTAGCTAATATTTAAATTAAATTGGTCTAAAAATCGAAATTCTTCTGGAAACGTCATTAAAATTGCCTATACCGAACCCCTTAAATAGTAGATATTATTTTATGTCCTCTAAAAAGCAAAACTGTTGATAAATTTTACCACAATGTTTAGAAGGTCGTATAAAGTACGAAGTGTAGTACACCAATATAGGTTAATGATTAAACCATCAACATTTTCAGAAACAAAGTATTAATAATAGATGCTGTAGTAGCACCCGTTAAAAAATACTTAGTTGTATTATAGGACAGCGTGATAGGTATTAAAGTTGATTTTTCAATGACACGTGTTACGACTGTGTGTTTGAACATTTTAAATAACCATATAGAATATATACACACGTAAAAAATGAAGTTTATTTTTGAAATTCTATATTTTATTGATCCATTTATACCGTTTATTTGTATTATCCAAACCACATTTTATATACAGTCATCATAAACATGTTTATAACGACATATAATAAGATACACCCTGCTGTAAATAGTGGTGTATATATCATGCACAACGAGGGTAAGAGTAGTGCCTAATACCTATCAGCCAAACCTCTTTTAAAATAAAAATGAAAATCCGTAATTTATCGTTTCATCGTCATAGTATTATTGTATGATAATAATAATAATATTTCGAACGAAACACCGACGCGAGTAAGTTATGACCATGCGGTTATAGGGAGGGGGAAGTTCTGTTTATATACATATATATATATATATATATATATACCTATTGATGACGTGCACCGATCGTGCCTACAACAGCAGTAGAAAAAAAAATGAATTAACCGTCACCATAATGGTCGCACCGGATATTCGTGGCGGCGTCAGCACTACACGACTATTTGTCTTAAAAATATAATATTATGGTAGAACCCACGATGCCGTGAAAACGATTGGGTGACAAAAAACCGCCGCCGTGTTTATTGGTTTTTTGTTTTTGTTATTATCCTCCGAACGAATTCGATTCGCATCGGCTGTTGATTTTTTTTTCCATTTTTCAAACTATATAATTCCTTTATAGTTGCTGTTCGTCGTGTATCGTGTATAACGATAATAATAATAATAATAATGATGATGTAAAAAAAGTATACGACTAGCACACGAAATATTATTATTATTATCATCATCGGATCATCGTCGCCCGGATGTGCATTAAATAATATGCCACGGCCCCCGGCACTCTACGCATATTTATTTTGTTCCTATTTCGTAAAATATCGTAAGGTTGGAGGTACCTATGTATTCCCGGTCGGGCAATTGCCACGGTGTTTCTAATACTTCCTAATATTATAAGTATAACGAACGACATCCGCGTAAGTCCGTGGGAGGACTTCTTATGCTGCAGTGCTCGCGACGAATAGGTATAAATATAATACCTATGTCCTTTTTATRAAAGGATAAAACAGAAAAACGTTCAGAATAGGTGGTGTAAAAATATTAAATGTGAATTGATGAAAAAAAGTTCTATAATATACAATGATGTGATTTTTAAGCATACTCGTCCCTATCATTTTTCCCTTTAATAGTACATTTATTCGAATTCTAATAATTAGAATTTTTGAGTAGACTTAAAGAACATATTTTCAAATTCCTGATATTTTTTGTATAAAGAGTATCCTGTAAACTTCTATTTTTCAAACGAAATTCCCCCTTTTTTACTGAAGATCATATTTTAGTTGATATTTTTTTTTTGAAAATTTTAATGTATGTAAATCAAAAATCAAATGAGTAATTAATCTTAGTTGATAAAATGTTTATACTATAAGAATAATAATATTTAAAAATAGTTTTTATAAAAATAAAAACCATAATATGTAACGTTGGATGTAATATTTATTATTTATTATACTTCTATAATTTTCACAAATTATTAATACTGATAAATCAATA